CTGAAACCGGCCACCCACATCACCGACAGCGCTGAGGACAGCGCCTTTCTACGAGGGGGTCATGTGTAAGGTATCCCAGAGAGTCGAACCACCCGCCTAACCACATTTTTCTTTTTCTCATTATCTTGCAGTTTCGAGGGACCCCGCCACCCAGGAGCACACAAAAAATGGCACCCAAGAGTAGAATAAAGACACGCGAAGATGGGTTGGTTTGATCGAACCTCTGTATCTGTACTGCTTCTTCCTGTGACTCGTGACTCTTCCTGGCGCCTTTTGCCCAGCCGTTGTTGTGCCTTGAGTGTACGCTTCGCACCCTTGGGTTATTTTAATATAACCGTCTCTCACGTTGATACTATATTCATCCTTGGAAAACCTCTGACTGACTGTGAACCTTGTGTGATTTCGGTGCCTGCCGCGTGGAACAGACCGTGACGAAGTTTATGTGATCACCATTACCCTGCGTAATCAATTTCATTGCAGGGCCTTGCGGAATTACCTACTCATCCACAATTTTATTGTTCATTCCTGGACTAAATGACTACGATACATTACATTGATGAGTGTTAGATGGCGTTTTTTTCCCGAGATAAGCGTTTAGTACCACCTATAACCTAACCACAAATGGTCCCGGATCCTTGACGGGTTCTTGTTGTCTGTTCGTGGAGGATGCAACTGGAAAATCAGAAGAAAACTGAAAGGTCAGGTCAGGTCAGGTTGCACAGGACGGTAAAGGCGTTCGCCTATCGAGCGTCCAGATTCTTGCTCCAGTCGGGAACACGTCTTCCGGAGCTTCGACTTCTTGTCGACCGTTCGACCACAGCCGATTTCTTCGTTTCGAACTGTCTCCCTTGGCGCGTCCGTACCTGCAAAGGGAGGTTATTTGAAAAAGGACAGCATAGACACCTACTGTCAATAGCAGGTACCCTACATGATCTGTGGATACAGGCTCGTCCAGACCCCATCTAACTGCTTTTTGAACTCGTCGACTGTCCTACAGTCTATTAGTGAAGACGGTAGCTGATTCCACTCATCTATCACTCTACTCGTGAAGAAGTTATACCCAAGGTTAAGCCGGCTCCTGGGCTTCATTAACTTCGAATGATGCCCCCTGGTTGACTCGAGCGGTGCTCGGGTAAACAGGCTTTCGGCTTCTAGTCCAGTCAGTCCCTTCATTATTTTGAAGGTTTCAATCATATCGCCTCTCAGGCCTCTCCTCTCCATGGAGAAAAGCCCTAAGGATTCTAACCTCTCCTTATATGACTTACCCCTCATTCCCGCGAGCATTCTATTAGCTAATATGTATATATAATCTTGCCCGGGGACTAGCGATGCTAGTTATTCTGGAAACATTATTATTAGACGTAGGAATCTGCTATAGTCAATGGGTAAAGGCATAAATACATAAAAAGGGTAATGAAATCCTTCAGATTTGGCGCGGGTTATTCTTGTTTAGCCGAAGTGAACTGAACTTTTTGTTTGCAGCTTTAGGATGACCAAGGAAAAAGGTGGATTTTTGACGCCTAAGGCAATTGCCAACAGGATAAAGTCCAAAGGATTGCAGAAATTACGATGGTACTGCCAAATGTGTCAGAAACAATGTCGAGACGAGGTAATTTTGCGAATTAATTGGATTAATCCAATTGTCAGAACGGTTACAAATGTCATACTATGTCGGAATCACATCACCGGCAGATGAAGTTGTTCGCTGAGAATGGTGGAAAATTTGTGAGTGGCTTCTCATCAGAATTTTTGAAGGGTTATTTGGATATCCTTCGACGTCAATTCGGTGGCAAAAGAGTTCATTCCAATGTCGTGTATCAAGAGTACATAAAGGACAAGGAGCACATTCACATGAATGCTACACGTTGGCATACGCTAACCGGCCTTTGCATGTGGCTCGGGAAACAGGGAATCTGCAGGGTTGATGAAACCGAGAAGGGCTGGTATATCGAGTACATTGATCGCGATCCTGAGAAAATGAAAAGACAAGAAGTGAATGAACGACTGGAGAAAACAGAGGATGAAATCAATAGGAAATTCTTGGGTAAGTATGCAATTCGCCTTTCATTCCTCCTCAGAGAGACAGATCGAATATAATCTGGCTCATGCGGAACCCGAGGAAGGTCCAGCGTATGCTCCCCTGGTGCGACCGGATGAGTGTGAACCTATTCGTCTGAACATGTCCCTTGCACCCAAGAAAGATGATCCTCCTGAGGTTTCAGCACAACCGGAAAGTCAGCCAACAGAACAAATTGATAAACCGGCAAAGCTTTTGACGTTGGTACCTAAGAAACCCAAACCAGTGGTGAGTACGGTAGACTTCCTAACATTTTTGTCGTTCAAGCCTGGACGAGAATGTCATAGCCATCACGGATCCATCGCAGATAGAACAAGTATATTTTATTGCCATTTTGACTAATTTCGCTTTCAGTTCTTGAAACACCCGCATGATTGAGTCATTGAACATATCCTGATGTGTATGCGGTTTGTCTCAAACCTTTCCGCTAGAACCCTCTTTTGGAAGCAGAAAAGAAAGCCCGCGAAGAAAAAGGCAAGGTTTCGAGCGAAAAGTCACGTATTGACGACCGTCCTGGTGTTGCCGGTTGTCGGCGTCGTGCTCTGGATGAGCTTATGGAAAAAGAAGAGGCTCTGAAGGATAAACGCAACAGGCGTGACTATTGGATGACCGAAGGGCTTGAAGTGAAACTGGTAAATAAAAAATTACCGGATACCATTCGACTTCGGCATGGAGTTGTCCTCAAAATGTTAGACAACTATACAGTAAGTACCGAGAATTTTGTTTTACCTAAAGCCGTGAGTTTCGAGTTGACTGTTCTGTCAAGAAAGTTTGCTTCGTATCTCTCTCTACCATTTGATTTAAATTAAACCACAATTACTGCATTTACAAACAGGACGTCACAGCCTGCCGAAGCTAATAACAGTGTAGGTTTGCTTCAGGTCAACTGGTCTGGCCTTACTACGGTTATTCCGTAAGTTGCTGCGGTGATCCTGTTGTCGGTAGCACAAGCCCCCAACATACCTATAGGTGCGCGGCACTATTCGATCGTTAATTTTTTAGTGTACACCTAAGTGTGATGGAAAGAAGACGGGGAACCCCCATAATCACGAGGATCTGCTGTTCACTGACGGAAACGTGTAACCTAAGCCCCGGGACTAGGGTGGTAAACCACATGAGGCCCCTTTAGATTAGGCGTGGTATTGAACCGGACGATAGCAAACCTGCATACCACCAAAGTTGGATGCCGGTGGCTGGCCTCGAAGCTCAGACAATAGCACGCGGGAGCTGATATGCTTATACCCACTCTTTTTAAGTTGGTGGATGGGATTACTGGTTTACTGAATTTGGTCCGAAGGGCGTATCCCTTTGCCTTGGGATGAATCGTTTAGCACCTAAGACAGGCCAAGCAGGTACGCATAACCAAATCAATTGATTAATCTCAGCTTACCTTCCTAGAATTGGACTGGATGAAGAACGAAGCGAGTGACGAGCGATGAAAGCGATATGTAGCCTGCAGTATCAAGATCTACAGAGTGCATCGGAAATTGTGCCAAAACCGAAGTCGTATGCGATCTCGTAGTAGAGGGCACCGAACTAAAATAGGGCCTTTACATGAGAAAAGGGAATAGAGTTTGAATTGCAAAATCTCTTCTACGCACTCCCCCCCCCCCCTAAAAGGTTAGTGAGGAGCAGGAACCCTTCAAAAAGTCGGATGAATGCGAAGTGTGTGCAAGTAAATGTGCATGCACGAGGCCAAAATCCAAAAAAGGAACACTTGCAGTCAATATGGTCAGATTGTCAACACGGATTTATTCATGTGAAAGTGCTTTGAATGAAAGCAATGTCTGTCCAATTGTTGTCAGAGAGGGAACAAGTATTCTGATTTCACGTTCGTGAAGTAGGGTTTTGGTCTTAACGAATGAAAAGTGGTTGGTTCGTCGCACGTGCACTGCAGAGGATGTACAAGGGGGGACTGCGGAATTCAGTGTCACTCGTGGCCCCGTTTGCTTCGCCAACATGGTGGTATGTCCCCTGCCGGGTATGCAGTTGTCCAGTCGTTGAGAGGATCATACAACAGCTGTGCAAACCACCGTGGGATAAGTTTATTCCTAATCATCATAAACGTTAAATTCCGTGATACTTCACCTGACATACTAAAGGGAGGTATTTCCGTGAACACCAACCAGTATTCCAGATAGGTCGCGGTTGCATCAATCAAATCTTCATTTTGCGTCAAAGAAGCACGAAGCCCTAGTGAGTTCGCTGTTTTTCAAAGGAACGCTGCAGAAGTATGAAAACCTGTTGAGGTCATTTCATTTACATCTGGAAGCTCGTGTGTATACAGTGGGATAAACCAATCATTCGATTTTCTTGAGGGTGACCTAATCCACCAGTCCTGTTCAATTTCGTTATAAAAAAATACTAGAGAATGCACTAAGTAGTCCCCAGAATGTTTTTGCATGTTCCGCTGATGAGATACTGTGCTATTTCGAGTGGCTAAACGTTGAAGATGAGTATATATATATATACCCGGGCGGAATCCTTTCTTGTTAGGGCAGGTTCGCTCGTGTTTTGTTTCAACAAAAGCTGTGCGGAAACCTTGGCTGTCACATCAAGTAAACTGATGCTTCTGTAGTTTTCACTTATTGCTTTGTCCCCATTTTCACGTAAAGTTAGTGAAATCGATGTAATCCAGTCATTTGGGCGTTTCAATTTCCCAGACTTCACACAGTAAGCTAAACAGCCGGTTGATGATGTTCGAAACTGATGACGGAGCGCACCTAGCTTCGTATAGCAAGGGGGACGCATACAAAGGTTGCACAAGACGATGGTTAGGAAGACTGAAGTATTCCGACCACACATTTTTCTTTCTGCATCCGAAGTGAACTCGCCGGAGGCGCTACGCAGGATGCACTGAGCGGCTTGGTTTTGCCGGATGCTGATCGTATGAATCGGAATAGGGCACCGTGTTGCCCAGGTTGACTACTGTCTCCATTTGTGTCGCCATTTCATTCCAATAGTTGCACCTATCGTTTCTGGTCGACTGTGTTGCTTGTCGTCTGAGATCGCGGTAAGCAGTTGATTAAGCTTGGTGTGCTTCTGGCCGTATTAGCTAACTGGGTGGTGTGGTCCGATATCCAGTCCTTCAAACGATGTGACTCACCGCCTAGTTTATGTAGAGCAGCTTACTCTACTGATGATGACTTCAGCCTGGTCCATTGAGTTTCTACCGAACT